CACCCCAATCGTCCCAAGCACTGCGTAGAGACCTCGTTCAAAAAGGGTTTGTCCTAAACTCTAAACCCTCAGACAGTAGCCAAACCCTTAAGCCCTAAAGCTTCAATCTCTTCAAGCTGAAACCTGAAGCACCAGAGCTGAAAGTATTTCAGAAACTGCGGTAGAGCCAGCACCGAAGAAGGTAGAGTTTTTTGCGCGGTGCCAGGGGTTCCGGTGGATTGCGAATTGCGAGAAAATGATTTTCGGACTGCTTAGAGAGCTTGGTTGAGGGCTGAGGATTGATGCTGCGTGGTGGAAACCCTCAGAGAGACCCTTCTGCTTGAGTGCTCCGGCGGCTTGCTGGACAGATCTGCCTTTTTTGCCTCGAGTGGGTTTAGGGCCTGGGGTTCCTAATGTGGGAGGTTAGAGATGCGAACTCCGCGAAGTCCGTTCTGCTACCCATGTGTGCCCTGGCGATTGCAGGCTGTCCTTGCAATGATGCAACAGTAGCCCTAAACCCGGGACTTTCCCTCCCAAGGCGGCTGAGCCAAAAGCTGCGAAATCCAAGCCCGGAAGCCTGAAGTTCCCAAACCCACCAAGTCCGCTTAAAGCAGGACGGCCAAGCCATCGCCGTGCCAGCCGAGTTGGAGCTGAAAGCCGATTATGTCGAGCTGCTCGGCAATAGTTCGGCTTTAGGCAAGATTCTAGGCACAAAGAGCTCCTGGTTGAAGCAAGGGCTTCGGGCTTGTGCTGATTCGAGAAGCCACAAAGGCTTCATCTTGATACCACTCGTGTGTTGAATGGCAAGTCTCTGTGCGTGTGTGTGTGTGTGTGCGTGCGCAATAGCTGCATCTTCCTGGAATGCTGCATGTTGACCATAACTTGTCTCTAACCGTCAAGCCTCAAAATCCAGATGCTAGACGATGGGCCGCCCAGGAAGCTCGTTCCCAGAAGGGACGGTGCGCGCCCGAGAGTTTCGTCTCAGGCCGGACCCAGGTCTGTTCCAGTGTTCTAGAGTGAATAATATTAATGCTAATGGTCAGGATAAGAATATAAAAGTAACAATGATAATAGTTAATACTACAGTATTATAGATGGTTTTAACAGCAAAGCCCTGTGCACCAAACCGCTCTATCAGTTTGACGCTCGACTGGCTCAGGTAATGGGGTGCGCAGTTTGGGGGGGGGGGGGTTGGGCTTATACCGCGAAGCACTTAGCATGTCGGGGTCTATGTTTACGAGTGTCTAAGAAGAAAGACCCTTGGCCTACAGGAGTTACCGTCTTGCCGTTTTCAAATTAGTTTACGCTTTGCACCCTTGCCATGGTTAAAGAGGAGCCGGATGAGCTGGCCGAGCCGATTCGAGCCAAGAGCCCCGACATCTCACTTCCTAGCTTCCAGTCGCGACTGACGGAGTGGGGTGAACAGTGCCTGAGGTTTCAAGCCTCGGGCGAGACATGGGTGCCCACAAAGCCATGCTGCCCAGCAAACCCCTTTTTGGATCTGGAAGCTTGTCGCTGGCAAGGCTTGAAAAGTGGCCAGGCGAAAGCATGCGTACAACTCCTATCCATAGAGGAGCTGTGTGAGTTGCATCGTTTCTTCCTCGAGAATCCGCACCATGAGCCTTTTGAAGAGCAGCCCGAGGCCTCCAATCCACAGCCCAATCTAATCTGCATGCAGATGCGGCCCTGGATGCGGGACCCTACCAGTGAAGAGGCGGAGGACAGCTTCCTGGAGCTCTCAACGGCTGATCCGACGGGGGGATCCCTGGAGGTATCTGGATCTGTGGGCTCCGTGGAGCCGTGCGAGGAGCCTTCAGAGGTCCAGCCCAGCTCGGCTAAGAGAGTCAGGGGCCAAGGCAAAGCCAAGTTGAAGGTCAACAAGGAGGAGAAGGCAAAGGCCAGGGCCAAGAAGCTCCAGCTCAAGCCGAAAGCCCCAGCAAAACCTTCCGGCTCTGCGGTGAAGGGCGTATACTTCACGAAGCAAGGGAGGTGGGAAGTTAGGTCGCGGGACTCCTGCACCAAAAAATGGAGATACCGAGGCAGATTCAAGACGCAGGAGGAGGCCGAGGCCAAGGCCCGGGAGCTGGCGGAGAAGCCGAAGCAAAGGCCCCAGATCCCATCGAAAGGTTCGAAGGGCTCCGCTGCGACAGAGGCCGAGCCGAGTGCGAGCTCCAAACCGGCAAACAGAGTGAAGGGCGTTCGTTACCACAAAGCGCGTCGGTGCTGGCACGTTTACCGTTACGACCCCTCCGACCAGAAAATGAAATTCAGAGGCTCCTTCGCGGTGAAGAAAGATGCTGTGGCCAAGGCCCGGGAGCCGGCGAGGCAGTTCTCCGATGTCAGGTACGTGTACTGGAACTCCACCAAAAAGCTCTGGCGCGTGCAGGTGTATGACCCCTCCAAGCGGATTACAGTCTACGCAGGCTCTTTCAAGTTGCAGAAGGAAGCCGAGGCACGGGCGCGAAAGATGAGTAAAGAGTTGGGCGCACGGGGCCAGCGGTATTAGGCGCGCAGCACGGGCGTAGGACACGGCCCGGAGAGTTCGGACCAGCCAGCCGAAGCAGGCCCGTGTGCACTGACAAGGGTGTACATGTGGATGCTGGATGTGGCCGATGTGCGAGGCGAACACAGCAGATCCGGCCCGAGGCCGTGGGTTTAGTCATGGTTTAGGACGTACTATTCTATAGTTCCAAATATAATTGACGATCAAAGCAGATCATGCACCGAAACGCTCTTCAAGCCATTCAAGATCTGATCTTCTGTATAAAGAGGGCTTAGCAAGGCAAAGTTATCACCAGCACCAGCACCAGTTCAGAACAGCACCATCAGCACCATCAGCTCCACCAGCTCATGTCATGCCTCATGCCCCGGCACCAATGCTAACAGTGTCTGCGACAAACAGCGGCTGTGGCGACAGCTGTGTCGCCTCTGAGCGTTGTGTTGCAAGAACTGAGGATGCAGAAAGTCTGAGTGTATGGATTGGGCTCAAGCGCAGCTACTTTGAAAGAGTGAGTCATCTCAGTCATCCTCGCTGTGGCCCTCACCAACAGCAGAATCCATCATCGTCATCATCAGCATCACCGTAACACGAGCATAATCATCATCATCATCGTCATCGCCATCACCATCGTCATCACCACCACCATCATTATCATCACCATAGTCTTCGTCATCATCGTCATCATCGTCATCATCCTCATCATAATCGTCATCACCCTCACCGTCATCGTCATCATCATCATCATCATCATCATCAGCACATTACTACTTTGGGTCGTCGTTATCAGTGCAAGCACCACATCACCGTCAACATCGTCGTCATCGTCTGCACCAGCGGAATCACCATCACGAGTACACCCATCTTTTCGGAAGTACGGTAGTCGTGATTCATGGTATGCCTGCATAGAATGGAGACCCGCCGTGCAACGGTCATCACCGTTATCAACACCAGGGTCATCTTCGTCGTCACCATCACCATGATAGTCATAAGTTTCTTCGTTCTCTTCACCACTGTAAACACCACCACCACCGCCACCACCGTTGCCTTAACATCTTTTCTTTATCTTCTTCTTCAGTATCACCGTCGCTTGAGCTCGCAACAGAGTCACGTCTGTATATCTCGTCCCTGACCGGGAAATCCACAGCCTTGCTGCTCCGCCCGCCGCATGCACGGTCGCTCGCAGCGAACACCACCGTCGGAAGCACCAATGTTCCTCACCGGCCCACATGAAGAACAGGGCATTCCTAATGGTATTCGTACCACACGTAGACGAGTATATAGTTTCAGAGCTGATTCGTGGAAGCTGGCAGTCGTAGCAGTTGCAGGCCTCAACCTCTTGGATAGCAGCCTCGTGTCCCAGCCTTCGACTCAAGATCCAAACTTTCAGGTGGCGACGCGCAGCCCTCGTATCTCATCGTGGGAGGCGCACATGGCTCATGATAGTATCTTGTGCCGCTTTGACCAGATGCTCAGAAGTGAAACTCAGCGATTCACGAAGTTGAAGGCACCTTCAGAAGAAGAACCTTGTTCAAAAAGCATGCGTACGAACTGAGCCTCCAAAGCGCGTGCTGCAAATCATCACTGGCCTCCCAGCACTCCAAACCCTAGAGACTTTCTGCCCGAAACACTTCACGTGAATCTTGCACCCGACTACTTCCCGAACTTCTGGCTGATCCCACTGGCGGAGGCTTGGTCTTTGTTCGGCTCACGCTCCCTTGGATGCTGTCGCGCTTCCGGGAGGTGCGCCGTTCGGTTCTGATGTATTCGTGGACTGCTGTTAGAATGACGACGACGGGCACAAACTAACACCATGGTGGTGGCGACTGCGAGTACTTCTTTTACTGCTACTACTCATATGCCCAGTCCAACACTTGCTATACCAAATTAATACTTCCTCTTCCTGCTGCTACTGCTGCTGCTCCTGCCCCTGCTCCTGCGACTACTTTAACTCCTCCTGCTCCTGCCCTCCTCCTCCTCCGCCTCACTCCTCCTCCTCACTCCTCCTCCTCCTCCTATTCCTCCTCGTCCTCCTCCTATTCCTCCTCGTCCTCCTCCTGCTCCTACTGCTCCTCCTCCTCCTCCTCCTCCTCCTAGTCCTAGTCCTAGTCCTAGTCCTAGTCCTAGTCCTAGTCCAAGTCCTAGTCCTAGTCCTAGTCCTAGTCCTAGTCCTAGTCCTAGTCCTAGTCCTAGTCCTAGTCCTGCTCCTGCTCCTGCTCCCGCTCCCGCTCCCGCTCCCGCTCCCGCTCCCGCTCCTGCTCCTGCTCCTGCTCCTGCCTGCTCTTGCTCCTGCTCCTGCTTCTGCTCCTGCTCCTGCTCCTCCTCCTACTCCTACTCCTACTCCTCCTACTCCTACTCCTACTCCTACTCCTACTACTCCTACTACTCCTACTCCGAGTCCTACTCCTACTCCAACTACTACTCCTACTACGACTACGACTACGACTACGACTACTACTACTACTACTACTACTACTACTACTACTATGACGACGACCGCTGCTGCTGCTACCACGACTTCTTGCACTCCCATTCCGAATCTTACTCTTGCTGCAGCTGCTACTGCTACCGCTGCCGGTGCCGCCACCGCTACCAGCACCACGAACACAACGACGAGAGCTGCTACTACCTGCTGCTGGTGCTGCTGCTACCACTACCACTACCACTACCACTACCCCTGCCAGTGCCACTACCACTACCATTACCACTACCACTACCAGTACCACGACCACTACTACTACTACTACTACTACTGCTACTACTGCTATTACTACTGCTACTAGTACGACCACCACCGTCACGGAGACTCATCGTCGTCGTCGTAGTCGTAGCAGTGATACCAATTCCACTAGCAATGACATTGACAGGAATGGCAACACTGTACAATGGGCAGCAGCCTTGAACCCTAAGCCCCAATCTTCAGTCCAGAATCTTCAACCGAACGATGTCAGGAGATCAGCATGCTCGTTGGTTTCCTGGCCTCGTACGTCCTTCGCGGAGCAACAGGCTTTGTGGAGGCTTGCTTTTGCTCGTCCCTTGAGCATCGGGAAAGGTGCCGCGATTACAGCAAGGTTGGCATATGGTCGTGATTGAGTGCAACACTCCAAGTTTCAATTAAATTGAACACTCGTGTCAGGGCTTTCTGCGACGAGCTTGCCACGCATGTGTCTGCGGCCGTGGCGTCGCGGAGGCAGGTTCGTTGGGCAGCTGGTGCCGAAATGTGAGAACCCATTCGATGCCTGACATGGCAATGTTGACACAGTAGCTTGTCACAAGAGTTGCTTGAGTTGTTTGTACTGTCCTGCCATCGTTCATCGAAGCCTTCGGCTCAGAGGCAGCACACCGAACCCAATCTTCAGGAAGACCAGGCACCCAACTCGCCAAGCATGATGCGCACCATGCTCTACGTCCTTCCAGCATTGCTGGCAGTGGGTGTCTCGAACCCTGAGGCCGATCACGACAGCCAATGTGCTTTGCAGGTGGGTTCAGAGACGCAGGTCGGCATCGCCAGGCATCAGCATCAGACTCACAAGGCACACCAGAGCCACAAGGCGCACAAAGTCGCGCGAGAGGAGAGTGAGGAGAAGGAGGGATGGTCCAAGGAGGCCAAGGGAAAGGCCAAGGTATCCCCCCACAAGGCCCCGGGCGCTTCCCACAGCACTTCCAAGAAGGGATCCGCAGAGAGCCCGGGGAAGGGGAAGCATGCCGGTGCCTCCGGGAAGTGGGCCTCCCAACAGGGCTCCCACTCCCATCTTCATGGGAAGAACGCTTCCGAAGACTTCGTGCCGGAGATGATCAACAAGTTCTTGGAGATGCCGCTTCCCAAGATGAACCATGAGATCTCGGAGACCCGACCCCTGGTGTTCATGCATCAGCATCGTGCAGGTGGCACCACAATGCGAAAGCTTCTGTACAACACCTCCATGAGTCAGAAGATGAAGCCTCATATCTTGTGCTCCGGAGGGGTCAACTGCAGAGCATTTAAGAACAATGTCACTGATGCCGCGGTCTACGGTGGTGAGTTCTGCTGGAGGGAGGTGATGACTTCCCTGTCCGGCAAGGAGTTTAGGGGTACTTGGAAATATGTTTACATTTTTTCGGTTATAGCCCCTCAGAGCTAAATTTTAATTTTATGCTAGGGTACCAATTTCAGCATAGGAAGTGTCATGCCTGACGAACTTCCGCGAGCCAGTGGCCCGTATTACCTCCTGTTATTCGCAGCGGCTGGTCGCCAAGAGAAAGGTGGCCCCTTTCTGCATGGCGAAGTTGGATCCCAAGAAGCTCAAGACCCTTCTTGTGAACTATGGCTGCGTGAACGAGCCTTTCCGCCGGCTGGGTCAGTGCGGTGTGCAGACGCATGCGGATGCCACCGACAGGAAGGCCCGGATGCAGATTTGGAACAGCACCCTGCGCAATCTTGCGACTTGCGTGCCGATCTTGGTAGACAAGCAGGACACCTACTCGGCCGCTGTGAAGCACTTCCCACAGTTCAAGCAGGCTTTCTGGCAGATGAAGAAGGAGAAGATGAACACGAACTCCTACCCCAAGGATTGCGAGATCCCAGCTACGCACATGGCCGTGATCCAAGAGTTGGCAGCGCAGGAGACCCTGCTCTACGAGGCTGCCAGGAAGAGGGCGCTGAAGCTGCATGAGCATGCTTGAGTGCGCCAGCTGTGCACTACAACATATAAGCTTATTCCCCTGCGATTTCCTGCATTATACAGACATGCGATATATTTACTTACATATATATATATATATGTGTGTCGGAATACCACAATACCAGGTTTAAAGTAGACTCAGCAGCCTTTAACAGGCTCTGCTTCTGCTCCACCCATGGCCAAGCCATGGTCCCAGCGTTGCAGATGCCCAGACTTGACGAGCCATTTTCCACTGTATTTATCCGCTCCGTGTGAGATGCCCCCGCTTGAAAGCAGGGGTGTTCTCAGAGAGCCCAGTGCCTGAAATCGGATTCAACTTTCAAACCGCCTAAGTCGAGGGAGATTCCTTCGTTAATCAGTATTGGGCTCTCTGGGTTTTAGGCGCTTTCAAAGAGCACTGCGCACACACATTTGGGAGCTAGGACCGGAGAAAAAAAGGAGTGCTTTGCCTTTCCGCCCATGGGGGGACCGGCTCTTCGGGCTTAGCGTTTCAAGTTTTGTGGGGGTTTAGGGCTTAGGGCTTTTAGGGTTTAGGGTTATAGGGTTTAGGGCTTTAGGGTTTTAGGGTTTCGGGTTTAGGGCTTTAGGGTTTCATGGTTTTAGGGTTTAGGGCAGAGTCTTAGGGTCCAGTGGTTTAGAGTCTTAGGGTGTTGTGTTTAGGGGTTTGGCACAATTTTAGTGTTTAGGCGTTGGCGCCTTCCACCATCGTTTGGGTTTGCAGGCCTAGGCTGCAGCCAAATACGGTAGAAACCCGAAATCCTGCAAGCCTACGGCCCTAAACCCGCAGCACAAAGTAACCTCAGAGGGTCTAATTAACAAGCCTCGCCAATGCAAGCCCTAAAACCCCTACCGGTAGCAGTGTAAAAGACTTGCGAACCCCAAACCCCAAACCCGAAACCCTAAACCCTAAAACCCTAAACCGAAACCCTAAACCCTAAACCCTAAACCTTAAAACCCTAAACCCTAAACCCCAAACCGTAACCGAAATCATGCCCAGTCTCTATCAATCTTAGACATGGTTTACCTGGACCCTAAAGAACCTACCTTTTTGAGGGTTTAGGGTTTAGGGTTTATGAATTCTTTATATAAGGCCTTAAAAGGGTAGGTTATTTGGGGTTAAGGTAGGGTTTAGGGACTATGGGTTTAGGGTTCAGGGTTTTTATAAACACCTTAGGCCCCAAACCCTAAACCAGGGTGTAGGGTTCTATAAACACCTTAGGTCCTAAACCCTAAACCTTAAATCCTAAACCTAAACCCTAAACCTTTTGCCTTTGAAGTAGCGATGAGCGTGGCCAGGCCGCCGTTTTAGCATCGGAGCGGGGCCTCTCGTGGCGTGAGGCCAGCGCTCTGAGTTTTGGTTTAGGGTTTAGGATTGAGGGTTTAGGGTCTAGGGTCGCTGTGTTATGTTGTGTAAATTTTGTTCTAAGGATGCAACTGTTTAGGGTTCTTTGTGCTGGATTTACGGTGTTTGATCCGGTTCTGTCGAGCTTGCTATTTGCAGGTGTCCAGGCTGTTTAAGACTTAGCGTGATGTGGTTTAGGGCTTTAGGCTTTTGGGGGGGTGATAGGCGATAGGGCTTGGGCTTAGTGCTATTTGGGTTTTAGGGTTTCAACTTATTCTGCAGCATTATGGGCTTAAGCGCTTTGCCGAAACTTTGGGGCACACGCTGTCGGCTTCTGACATTCCCTAAACCTTAATCCCTAGGTATAGAAAGGAATTGGAGGGTGTCTGCCCGCGATGCTGTCCCAGGCTCCGGCTGCGGCACGGTGACTATTTTGCGCTCGTGTCCTGTTAGTTACACTCCCGGTGTGCCAGCGTGCTTCATAGTATATTCCTAAATTGGCTTCACTGTGGACTCCACATGTCTGAATCCCGCCCGTACATGGGGCGAAAGATTTTGGTCGTGTCTCGATCCTCAACCCCGCCCAAACATGAGGGGAAACATCCTGGCGTGGTGCAGCTTTCCTTTTCTCCTGTGTCTCCTGGTGGTCTTCTGGTGGTCGTTTATGCTTTATTTTTTGTGTTTTGGGTTGTCGGATTGGGGTGGTTAGCTGGGCCTCCCTCGGCACATCATGTAATGTG